TCATACTGCCTGAGGAAACTGAAATAGATATGGACAATTTTAAATTCAGAAAATAATGACTGTACATTCTGAGTGGGCGACTGGAGCAACAGTAAACTTTACCTGCTTGGGGGGGCAACACTAGTTTGGTCTTTAACTGCCATATTTTTGTTAAAACGTTTCCATGGTGTCTCATTAAATTCCTTTTTCTATTTGTCTCAAGCAGGCAAACACATTTCTGGGAGAAAATTTGCTGGTTTCAGTGTGCCTTTCACCAACGTATCCTAATACAACAGTACATATGATATCTAATGAATTGGTTCCCAACGCATGGCATCGTCAAGTTACCTACTTAACATTGTAATGTAGGTTAGGTTTAGGCCAAGGCCTCAGGAAGTATGCTGGTCTTTGAAACCATCATAATGGCAAAACAGTGGAATTACAACTTTTGCGTCCATCACGTTTTGCCATTGGGCAAAAAAAGACTTTTTCCCATAGACTTAAGGTGCTTTCAGACGTAGAGTTGTCTTGCTTTGGCCTTAATCAGGGAATAATTTTGTTACAAAGTTGTATAATTGCCTAGAGTTGGTTCGTGTTCTCATGGCAGCATTTACAAGCGGACCAGATCAGATACTTTGCACAAGAAAGCTGCTTTCCATGTGGGAAAAATCCAGGAAGTAAAGCAAACGTTGAAGAAGAGTACACTTGCAAGATAAATGTGACACTTTCTAATGTCACAATGGAGGGACAACTACGCAGGTTGATTTTAGCGTTGCTCATCGTGGACTATATTGCTGTCATTGTTCATTTTAGTCAAACCATACAGTTTGAAAACGAGGCGCGGCTCCAACTAGAAAACAATGTTTTGATGCATTGGATGTGCTGAATGTGCATATTAAGGCAGTACAGGAGGAGGTGCACATTAATAATCCTCCAGGACTGTATCATGCTCATGTTTAACCCAAACAATGTGTCATGTGACTGCAGTTGGTTCAGATCCAGGTCGGAACACGTTCTCACCACAAACAAACTGCACCAGAGTTCGTTTGTAACCAGACTGAGACCACCTCTTCAAGAAGGTCTCAGTGCGGTTGTTACAGTGTGCACCCAAGTGCGATTGCTGTGTTCACACCTGCTCAAATGAACCGCACTTATGGGGCAAACAAACTTGAGTTTGTTTGAACCGAACCAAACAGGACAGGTGTGAAAGCACCCTTGTATTTGGAGAGTGACGTCTGTAAATTAGTGGATAGATTTTTATAAGTGTCACAACCCCTGCACAATGACCCATTTTACTATCTGGATATGATCCATTCAGTCCCATAACATTCCATTCTAGAGAAGCTGCATGATTAAATAGTTTAATCTTTATTCAAGTAAGCGGATTGCTAAACCAGAAGTTGCCAGCTCAACCTTGTTCTATGAGCCCAATGAAGTAGAAGTTCCAAGTAAATTTACAACTATTTTGGCCTCATGTGCCACTGAGCAACTTTCATAGAAACGAATGGGGCCCTGCCTTTAATGCTGTATTCAGTTCTCTTTATTCATCCATGGTTTGGGCAAGTGAAGTTACATTCGTTAGGTTTAGGGAAACACACATAGTTGGGTGTCGTCAAGGCTACTTTACATGAAATTATGCAGAAACAGTGTATAAGAGCAGCCTGCTTTCACTATGTGGTGATTATAACTGATGGAGACCATGCTCTGAGGTTTTAAATTAGTCCTATAGTAATAAATTTATAGGACTACATCCAACAGTCCACAGTCATTAAACCCTGCTGCAGTTTCCTGTTGGCCTCAGGTGATATTCATCTTTTTCCCAGCCTAGGATCCAAGTCTATCTTTATACAATACTCACATTCTCATTCGTGCATTGACACAGTTTTTGGTTGCTGTGATCATCCCTTCTTTTCACACTGGCCCTGAAGAGATTTCCTTCTAATGTAATTCTACTGTAAGAAGCGGGGAACAAAATCCACAGTCCTGCTCCGTGCAAAGATGTATCCTAAAAGTCGGCTAAGGCTGATATGAGGCTTCAGCAGTCTGAGTTTGACAAATCAGGCCGGTATCTTGCAAAAGAGGTCTTTTTAGTACAGCATTTCCTCTTTGTGTTACTGTCTCCCTGCAGCAACTCAGCAAGTAAATACTGTCTTGGGAAACATTTAGGAGGGAATGTGGGATTGAAAAGACTAAAATTGGAAGACGTCCTTCTCATTTGTTTAGCTTACTTAGACTGCTAAAGCCTCATATGAGCTGCAGCTCAAGTACAGAATTAATTTGCAAAGGGTAAGGATTTTGTTCCTCATCACTTACAGCAGAATTAAATTAGGGAGGGATCTCTTCAGATCTATCTTAATAACCGCAACCAAAAACTGTCTCAATTTACATATGAGCATTGTTGTGTGAACCTACACTTATAAACCCTGTGCCCCTATCTGTCTGCAAAATATAATAAAGGAACTTGTACATGAAGGATAAATCAAAATATATCTATCCTTAGTTGCTGCTACCACATATAAGTCACTGTATGGTAATGCTCTGGGGCAGAGCCAGAGGTTGTAAACATTCAGGGCTCAGCCAAAATATAGGGAGGTCTGGGGACATGAGATTTTTTTTCCATTTGCAGCAGCTGTATGCACTATCTTTCAAACCATTTTAGATAATAGAAGACCTAAAACCTGTACATCATCTGGGAAAACATGATCAAATCAAGTAGAGCCTATATCCAATTTTGTGCTTAAGGCCTTGTCCATACCTGGTTCATACCAACATGTCTTGGATTATCTGATCACAGTGCTAAATACAAGTGTAAACAACCACTATGACTCACTGTGATCCGATCCCTTAAATCACTTGCTGAGTTGGTCAAGGACCGATTTGACCACATATCTTTTGTACTTTTTTAGTGATGCATCACTACATCATCAGTGCAGGAGGTGGTGGTTGTTGGGTGGCAGTGTGCGAACGTTCTGGAGCTTGCCCATTTTACGATAAGTTGGACGAAGTGTGGCTTGACCGTCCATTGCTTTGCTCGATTGAAGGAGACATGTTGAACTCTGCTGACAGTGATATTTCCAGCTGTACAGACACAACTGCTAACATGACTTGTGACCAAGCTCACGAGAAGCTAGCAAGAGTTTGGACGTAGTAACTGTGCACAGGGCCCTTTGACCTTCCAGCATAAGTGACGTAGGCAGTAACAAAGTATATAACATAGGGTATGATAAATACACAGACAATATATAAAGATGGACGACATGATCACCCCCTGGTGGCTGGCTGACGCTGTGCAGAAGTTGAAACAAAACTGTATCACAGCTGCGCCAGGTGTAGTAGTCCCTCCTGGCTCCCTTACAGTCAAGATGGTGGCAAAAAAACAACCAGCCTTAAAATCTGTAACAGATTTTAAGGCTGGTTGTTTTTAGCTAAGACAATTTCCAGAAAACTTGCCCCTTACTGCCAGATAGGAGGAGGCAGGAATCAGCAGTCACTGATGGTATGAAACAGTCAATAAAACAGATATTTCAACAATTGTGAATCACTGTAACCACGAGAGGTCCTTGAGAATACAGTCATAAAAGTGCCCACAAAATATTAGGCTGATAGGTCCAGTAGTTTGATAAATTAGCTGTGGACAAACAGATGCACACACACACACACACACACACGACCAAACACATGATCCACTCCCGATCAACCTAGTCTCACTCTGAAGACATCGAAATCCGGTGCCGACTTGCAGTGTCAGACACAGCCGAAAAAGCCGTCCTATAATGTCGGCGTGATACGCAGCCATCACCGCTATAGTTTAACAGCACTCGGCGGCGTCAGGGGAAAATGCAGCGGGACAAGAACGAAAGCTACAGCAGCAAAAGTCCAAGTAGGTTGGGTGGGATGGGTCCAACAAACATTGAATTTCACCGACTTTCACCTGGGAGAGCAGTGTTCGCGTCCTGTAGGATTGTAACGCCAACCTTTGTTCTTTTTTCCTAAACCTAACCATGTGCTTTTGTTGCCTAAATCCAACCATGTGTGTTAGTTGTTGGAGGAAAAAAAAAACATCAGTTTGCTGTGTTGTACCGATGTAGTGTGTGTATTTTTAAAGAGTCTGTATGTAAATGTTAAATTTCCTGTGAAAACAGAAGTGTATTTTCAAAGAGGACAATGCATGTAACAGGCAGAACTTGACACGACGTCCCAGAATGTCAATAACCAACGCACCCAGGGTACCTTGCACGTCATATCTGGATGTGGAAGGTCAATATGTGATGAGGTTGGAGCGAGAAAAATATAGAGATAAATATTTGGGCTGCTGTAATTGCAAATCAAGGTTCCCCAACAGTGCCAAGTAAAGGTGGTTTCAATACTCTGAGCTGAATATTGGGATGACAGAATAACTCCTAATAATAGAATTCTTTACATGGAAGCATTACATAATAAGATAAACAACATGGGCATATTACTGTCTGAATGACACAAATTAAAAGTATTTTAAAAACCTAAAAGATTCTAGGCATTTGAGAAACGATTTGCAAAGCCCCCCCCCACTGCTGCAGCTCATAGAAGCTGCCTCTGTTATTGCTTCTGCTATTAAAAAAAGTATGTTTATGTAGAAAAGACAACACAATATTGGTTTCTATAAGGGCGTGAGTAAAGATAAAGCTGAACAATAATGTACTATATACAAATATCTGCATCAGTTTGAGCAAAGAGGAAGCCAAAAAAATCCAAAACACTGCTGCAGGAATCTACATCCCTCTGGAAACAAACACTTTTGTCACCTTGTATCCAAAGACTGCGTTATAAACAAATGAGTTTGAGCCTGCAGCACTGTTTGCACATAAATCAAAATCTGAAAGAAGTAATTAGGATATTTCCTCACACTTTGCTTTGTGAAATTGACCATAAAAGATTAATGATGTACCATAATTTAGAAAGAATCTCGTAATTCAAAAGATAATTAATTCTAATAATTTCCACCCATATCCCATTATAAATAATGGCACCAACTTTTTCCCCTGTATTTTATTAAACAACACTTATGTACAAATATATTCATTACAGGACATGTAAAATAGTACATCTCGACATGGTGTAAATGGCTTTGGGTGCATCTAGTACAAATATCCAAACTCCACTATGATACTGTAGGTATTCACACAACACTGAGTAAACACACTTGTGAATTTCAAGAATTTCAAGCATTTGCATTTTTTTAAATCAAAGCTTTCATTTTGATTGCTCGTAATTTCGTTACTAATCTAACCGATCAATCACGTGACACATTTCATCGCGACTTCTGTAACGACTGTGGTCCTAATGCAGCCATGTAAACCTTTAAAGTGAGGCTTCACACTCACCAGATTCAAAGTACAATCATGCAGTTCCCTGAGAGGTAATACTGTCTTACAATTTTGGCAGCCAGTCCTTGGTCAGAGGTAAAGGAGTAGAGTTTATGTATAACAGCATTTCTCCACAGACTCTCCCTTTCAAAGCGATCTCACCAAGTGTTAGAAAAGAGTCTCCGTCCATGCATCCTCCTCTGGTCATAGGCAGTCTCTGCACAGTGCCACCTGGCCGATACGATAGTCCCTGCAGGGGCAAAGGCGCTGGTATTTGGCACTGGAGCCGGCACAGCTGAACAGCAGGGGGTCCTGCTGCAGGCCGCATTCAGCGTGCTCTGCTGAGAAGGCAGGGAAGATGTGGTTCATCTCGGACTCCACTCCGTCACACTGGAGGTCCAGCCTGGAAACAAAGACAGAGGAGGAGGCGGCGGAGGAGGGCACAGGTTAGGACTTCATTTTTCAAGTTGAAAGGGTATTTCAAGGTGAATGAAGAAACAGATAACTGATGCAGATTACAGGTTCACAGATTAACACATGATATGTAATGAGCAGGATCTGACAGGAAAAATTTGGCTCTTAGACTCCACAGGGAGATTTAATAATTGAGGGGTGTTTTCTCTGAGCAGTAAGATAAATCCCCCCCCATGGAGTCCAGACACTGGTGATGGTGGATGATAACTCTCCTGAGACTGATGAAGCTGTGAAGACTAGGCGATGATGGGGAGGTGGAGGGTGCACACAACAGCAGCATGAACGTACTAAAAGCAAAAAGAAAATCATATTTTAAAGGACAGCAACAAGATGATATGCAGACAATGGTTTAATGTGATTAGCTGCTAGAACAGCTGACATCTAAACAGCCCCTGACAATGAGAGCAAGAAATTATAAGTGAGAATGCCTGCAAGAAAAGAAAGACAGATGGTATGAGAAATGGATTACATTACTGTCTTCCTGACTTTTGCTCGCGCTTCATTAATTATCATTCCACTAATAAAACTCAGAAATATATTTGATATTAATGTTAGCAAGAGTGCCAGAAGGTGTCAGTGATAATTCACCAAATATACAGTGAAAGGCTGAGCCAGGGTCTGATTCTGTACTTTGTGCTGCGGCATAATTTTGACACTGGAAATGCAGATTCGGGATTGGTTTGCAGGCTGCTTGAGATCCATTGTTTCCTATTAAAGAAGATCCCGACAAGGCGCTAGACATTTCACACAGTCATCAATAGAGTGGATGGTGCAATGGGCAAGAACACATTAAGTTCTTCTTTCAGTGTACTGTATGTTACAATCATGGGAATAAAGTTAACATCCAATGATTGATGATCCATTTTTTTCATGTCATTCAAAACAATTATTAAAAATAGTTTTCATTTCAAGTCCCCCTCCATTCAAAAATGTGCTTTTCTTCTGTTTTTATCCTTCAGAACAGTGGTTCCAAACTGGTGGGTCGTGGTCCAAAAGTGGGCCGTGGGTCCATTCTAAATGGACTGCAAGTGATTCACAAACTTGTCTGTAAAAAACACACTTTATTTTGAAGTACAGAGAATTTCCGGCACAGAGCTTTATTTTTAAGTGCCATTTCCTGTTGTAGTGTGAGTGACTTAAGGACAGATCCTTTAAAGAGACAGCAAACTTACTCGACGACATGGCCAAATGAAAGTGTGACACTGAATATATCAAACTGTGTGGACCTTGAATTAATGACAAAGGGGAAATCTAGACCATGTGGCTGGACCAGTTAGGAACCAGTGCTCTAAAATGTCTGACCTTGACTATACTTACTTGTTTCTATGCAAAGTTTATTATTAGATAAGTTTTTCACATTCTGTGATGTTTTGTATTTCCCTAAAATCTGAGATTCAAACATACACCAGTCAAGCTATATTAGATACAAGCGCTTTCCACTACAGGAAACACATGTCGATGGTAGAACAGACTTTGAAACAACACCAGCAAAAAAACCTGAAACCTCCAGCGCAGAGCAGACTCCTCAAAACAGAGAGTAGAGTTAGCATTAGCATAGTGAAAGATCTGACCCTTGGGCTTCCTTGTGTGCCAAAAACATCATTGTAGCAGATATTATTATGACAGTTAGCCCACCAATTAACAAATGACATAAACAAACAAATAAAATACGCTAACTACACTTACCATTCGTATATATGCTCGCCGCTGATTTGGGTGCACAACTGACTCCTCATCTGAGTCTGGATCTGACCGAGGCTCCAACATTTATGACTGAATCTTTCCCATGTTTCTGCGAACGCTAACTTTAGCCACCTTCATGTGCACTGCTGTTTCACTGGTCAACCAAAACCAAGCGCACGCAGTGCTGGAGCGGCAAGTGAAAGTAAAATGTTCTTGCAAGCAAATTTCTCAATGAGGGAGAAAGAGTAGATCCTCTTCCAGCCCCTTTTCAGAACACTATTATGTGGGAAAACTGTCTTAAATTAAATATTAGTATTAGTACAAGTACGATAAAACGGGTCTAAAGAGGGACTTTTATCATTAAAAACTCTGAAATATTATGTCTAATTTTACCCTGATACATTCTGATACCTTGGAATTCTGTTATATCAAAAATTGCAAACTTAACAAAACTAATTTGTTATAATGCCATGTTATTTTTGTGTCAGCAGGAGCAATTGAAAAGATAAAACAATGTTTTGGTTCAAATTATGAATCATGATTTGACAAATCATCCCAGAGAAGAAACATCTTACGCGCTGAAGGCCTCCTTGATGTTGATGAAACGATACAAGGCAGGTTCGCAGATGAGTCCTGCACTCTGGCACGCCTTCACACATGACTGGCCCTCCAGCGAAGCCAAGAGCCGGAGTGCGCTGAGTGGTGGCCAGGATGTGTAGGAGCTGGCGTTGGAGGCCCAAGTTAGGATGCTGGAGTTCGGCAGGAGGATGAAAGGACTGGGAGGGCTGCTCAGCCAAGACGAGTTTACTGGAGGAAACGGAACTTCAGGGGAACAAAAGTCCTGCAGGGGCAAAGATAAAGTGACCCAGATCAGTAATATGTTCAGAGTTATATCGCAAACACTTTGACCTGTCAGCTGAAATAAACTCGACACTCCACCACACAGCGGTGACAAATTATACATTCAACTCTGCCACACATACATCCGGACAGCTGATAGAGGATATAATAAAAGGACCGTTACGATACAAAGGTGCTTATCAGAGCTGACAAGTCCTCGTCAATCTTCCAGGAAATGATATGAATGCAGTTATGCCACCCAATAACAAATGAGCTTTGGAGGCAGAATTAGGCTCTGGCGAGAGCGCTGATTAGATTCCCCCTCCAGCTGGGGCTATTCATAAGACCCAGGTAATAACATTTCTCTGACATGTCCCACTGGCCTCCAGACCCGTTTATTAAACAGGCTCCCAGCGCCCGCAGGCAATAACTGGGCTTCCAATCTCTCCATCTCCGCTGCACTTCCACTCCTCAACACAGACAACACCTCCGACACACACACAGACCCACGCACAGCTCATCAAGAATATAAGGAGCGATGTAAAGGGGCGAGGTTAAGAGATGGAGATGGATAGCAGGGGTTCATGGATATGCTATGATTTCTAATTACAATATTTTTTATTCACACAGTTTATTTTTATGTGTGCATGTATTTAGTTTTGTATGTGGGGCCAGTGGGTCAGTGGAGGCATAAAGGCAAAAGACAGTTAGGTTCAATGGTAGCTTTAAAGATTTGTAACATCAGAAATGTGGATCTCAGTGCAGAAGATGATTTATTGTGACAAAAGCAAATTAAAATATGGATAAATCAAATTAGATCAAAACACATTCTCACTCCGACCTCGCCACATATCGACGTTTGGTCATGGACCTTTCACGTCCACATACGACCTGAAAGTTCTGCCTGTAACATGGATTGTCCTCTTTCAAAATACACTTTCGTTTTCACAGGAAAAGTTTTCTTTTCCTCGAAAAACTAAAGTATGTGGTTGGGTTGAGGAAAAAAGAAAGAGTTTGGCTTGAAAATCTTACGGGATGCGAACACCGCTCTCTTGGGTAAAAGTCGCTGTTTGCTGGACCAATCGCCCACCCCTTCAGCCCACCCTACTCGGACTTTCACCCCCTTAACGTTTATTCTTGTCCCACCATGTTTCCCTCTGACGCCACCGAGCGCCATTTAACTATAACAGTGACCGGCTGTATATCATCCCGACGTTAAAGGATAGCTTTCTTCGTCAGTGCCTGATGCCACAAGTCACTGCCCAAGTGCCAGATTTCGATGACTTCGGAGTGAGACCGGGTTGAAATTTAAGGCTATTAATGGTTTTTAAGACCCTATATTTATATAATTGAATTTAAGACATTGTAAGACTCTGTAAAGACCTGCAGACACTCTGGATCTTATGGTGATATTTTACTCAACAGCTCAACCACTGAAGTCTAGACAAGCAAAACCTGCAACCAGGCAACCGCACAGGTTAGAAGGAACTTTGTTTAACCATGTCACGTACTATAGATATTATGTGCTTAATTAGAGGAGAATCTGCAGGCAAGTAATTAACTGAACTGTCTATTTTAATCATACACAAGACCTTGTAACTTCATCATGTAACTACTTGCTGCAATTGTGCAACTTTTTTTCTTTATCAGGGTTTTCAGAATGAAACACAGTTGAATTGGATGAGTATTTTAAGTGCAGAATGCCAAGGGCATAAGAAATAAAAATAAAAATGAATAGAATGAAGAATAAGAAAACAGACATAAAAACGAATAAAACAAAAGCAGCATTGAAAGTGAGTTGCCAATACTTTATTGCAAGTTTAGGTATAAACGTGCACACTTTTTCAGTGCAATAGATGACTATACTAACAAACACAGAAGACATTTTGAACTGTCATAGCAGTCAGAACACAGGTGTCACACTAATGGTGGCTCACTTTTAATCACGTGTCCCAGTAAGCCATGACAGAGTGACAGTGAGCCAGCATGAACAACACCTGGACCCTGAAACCTAGTCAGCTAAATGGAATCAAGCCCTCATTAATCCTGTTATTCACACCTGTGCTCTTCCTGCTGTGACAAGTCAAAACGACTGTGGAGAAAAAGATAGATACTAACCAACATCCATTTCATAAATCAGGCTTTTACCTGGGCATGAGCACTTATCCTATTGCACTGGAGCCACCATTTATTGTTGATTTGTCACATACTGGGGAATGGTGACATCATCAGTAGGTTTTATGTTTATTGAGGTATCTCAGATAGAGGAAATCTATAAATGTCCTGCTGCAAGGGAAAGCTGGTCATTGTCATTCTGAACCACTACATGCCGACAAATGGGATGACCTCACAGCCCTCTCAAGACATTGTCCTCACTAACTATTTTTTAAGCTTAGATAGGCAGTGTAATTTTGGTCTACTTGGGCAAAAATTCCACAGTAAACCTTGAGCATATTGTAATTCAAGTGGTCTGAGAGCAAACTCAACTTCTACACCTCCTCCTGGCTCTGTTTTCAGGCTTTAGAAAACCTAGGCTGTGACAGGAGATTGTACCTAGCCAATCACAGGTCATTTCAGAGAGAGATTGTTCCTATTGGCTGCCCTACAAAGCCTGATTTAATGGCGGAGAATCCTGCCAAGAAAGTTGTTATTCCTGCATTGGCAACAACTGTCTACACTGCAGAGCAATGCACAAAAGGAAGATGGACTTATCGAAAAGAGGATCTGACAATAAACTAAATAAAACACCTGATAATATTAACAAAGCCTTTCAGAGATGGAGAAAAAATGTTGCCCATAGTTTAGCGTTCTGGTAATCGGAGCTAAAGGGTCATGGCGGTGGCAAGTTTACATTTATGTGGCAAACGTCAACTAGAGCCTCAAACACCAGTGTGTTCACCGCCTCACTCCCCACCTCTACAGGAAAAGAGTGGGTAGTAGCTGCGGAGACAGACCCCCAGTAGCAGCTGCAGCAGCCGAATCCAGCCAGGGCAAACCCCAGCTCCAGGGGACTACACAGCCCCAACTCCCAGTTGGATCAGCAAACTTTCTGTTGCTGCTGTTACACAGGTTAGACCTTGCACTGCTGCTGGACACCAGCTCGCGTTGGGGGGGTTTGCTATGGCCAAATTAGAGCCACTAAATCCTCCGCCCAAGAAGCGTCACCTGAGCTGCTGCCTGCTCTCCTTTAAGGGAAGCAGTCCACAGTGCAGGGAGTGAGGCGAAGGGATGGTTGGGTGGCTAATGTTAGCGCGCTAATTCTTGCCTCATTTGTTGTCTTGTAAACAGAAAGAGAGACCGGGGCAAGGAGGAGCCGAGCGAATGAGCTATGTGCAACTCTACTATGAAATAAGATTAAAAAAATCAATGAATGGGAAATAGTGGGAGGGGCTTAGGACAGAGAGGAGAGCTGCAGGAGGAGGTTATAATTTAAAATTCTGTTGTTTTTTCTTCCTGCATGGTTACCATCCACTAGGGGAAAAAAATCTCTGTATCTTTCCTCTCTAAATACAGTGTTTGACCTCCAGTATTGATTGAGAAATGTCAGTCATATGATTTTTTAGTTAAATGCTCTCCACAATTATAGGGACACAAGGAAACTAATAGGACAAGGGTGAAACCTGTGCCATCATACAATCACACAGACAATGTTTACAGGGGAAAAGACTAAGGTGCCATAAGAGTACATTGTATAAGGGTCAGACCGGAGCTCTGCCAGTGGCTGGAGGTGAGAGGAAGTCATTGTGGGAGGTAACGAGGACGAGAGGTTCAGGCAGACAGTAGAAAAATGAGGGTAAGAGCTGTGAGTTACTTGAGAAAGTAGAAATAAAATTGGAAAAAGTGTGAAATGGTGGAAGAGAGGGTTGAGAAAAGTGGAAGAAAAGAGAGGGAGGAGAGTCTGATTGGGAGTCTGACAATGTACAAGCCAAGCGGGCAGTCACAGTCTCAGTCAGTCACGGCACGTTGAGTGTGTGTGTGTGTGTGTGTGTGTGTGTGTGTGTCTGACAGCCTGGGAAGAGATGGTGTCAGAGCAAAGGCTAACACATTTCTCTAACCTGCCACTGCAAGACACTATACAAACCATCACAACATGATGGATGTACCAGAGGGCAACAACGTCTGTAAACAGACGGTATAGAAATGTGTGTGGGGGGGTAATAATGGGTGTGTTTGAGTGTTTATTTTTGGTTGCTCTTCTGCCTGAGCACTCACCCTGGTTTTCAGTAAAATGCACAATAACATCATGTCTTGATTACTGATGAATTCTCATTTTGATGCGTGTAAAAGGTTGGATAACAAATCCATTTTTATGTATGAGCGTTGCTTTTCTCTTTCATCACTGTCCTCGAGGACCATCATTGAGAAAAATTAGTCACCGTGCGAGTCTATTAAGCTTGCAGCTGCAGCCTGCAAAGAATTTAATAGCTGACCCAGGCGGTGTAGCCAAGTAATAAATATTGTGGCCAAGCAACTAAGAAATCCCATAATGGGAACTTCAGAAAATAACAGAGGAATACCTTCAGTTTATTAAATGGATTCAAAGGACATTAATGCTTTAAGGAGAAGAGACAGTTCTAACAGAAGTCTAACAGATAGTTGTTAAAGGGACAGATCACCCCAAAATCAAAAATACATATTTTCCTCTTGCTGGTAGTGCTATTTATCAGTCTAAACTGTTGAGGTGTGAGTTGCAGAGCAGTGGAGACATCATTAATGGCGTCCTTTAGCCAGAGCTGTGACGTTAGCTAGCTCAGTAATGCTAGATGAGGTAGCAGTAGATGCACCTTTCCTTCTGCGCTGTGATATGGTCAGCGGGTGTAGTTCTGTAGAAAGTAGGGATGTTTCCAACACATTCTCATTCTGACATTGTCACATATTGACGTGTTTGGTCATGGACCTTCCACGTCCACATACGACGTGCAAGGTACCCTGGGTGTGTTGGTTGTTGACGTTCTGGGACACCGTGTGAAGTTCTGCGTGTTACATGCATTATCTTCTTTCAAAATACACTTCACAGGAAATTTACCATTCACATACAGTCTCTTTTAAAATGAATGCAAAACGTTGGTACAATGCTACAAATTGACGATGTTTTCCTTCAACAACAAAACCACATGGTTAGGTTTAGGAAAAAAGAACAGGGTTTGGCTTTAGAATCTTATTGGACATAAACACCGCTCTCTTGGGTGAAAGTCGGTGTTTGTTGGACCCACCCACCCTACTCGGATTTTGGCTGCCTTAACTTGTGTCCTTGTCACGCCGCGTTTCCCCCTGACACCGTGGGGCACCGTTAAATGGCAACCGGCCAGGTATCATGTCGACTTTTAAGGACAGTTTTTTCATTTGTTTCTGACGCCACAAATTACTGCCCAAGCGCCGGATTTCAATGACTTCGGAGTGAGACCGGGCTCATTATTCAAGACAATCCACAGACATGTTGTGAGCAGTTTCTTGCATGAAATATTCTCTTGCTACCGAACTACACCCATCAACCGTAGAAGGAGGCGTGCATCTACTCACTGACGAGAAGTTCATGCTCGTGACAGACACTAATGGCGTCCTATAGCCTGAGCTGTGACGTTAGCTAGCTCAGTAATGCAAGATGAGGTAGCAGTAGAGTGGTCAGTTTCAGTTCATTTTGCCTCGTTTAGATGCCGTGTAACTTTTCCAAGAGATGGACAAATGATAAACGACTAAAAGCGCAACACAAACATTTGAGAAAATACAACGGATTGGCTCAGAAACAAGGATCCAATATGTAACAGCTGATTAATTCTCCTCTCCTGTCAACAAAGAAGCTGAGAAGACTCACAGTGAAGACTGACCTCATGAGCAGAGGTGAATACATGTATCCTTTGTCGTTTATGGAGGTGCTTGAATGTTATTGCTTCCTTCTCCATTCCTATTCTGTCCTAGTGCTGGGTTTACCACTGAGACACTTAAAATGGGGAGACTGTAGGGAAAAATTGGAAATTCTGATATTTGGTGACAAGGCCAGGAAAGCACAGTGAGACACACTGTACAGTGGTTCCAATCAGTTGAATCTAAAGTTTCTGGTCCAACTAGAAAGAGTCCAAAGAGGCAAACCAGAACTTTGAGAACCCTACTGTTTTAAAAAGGTCAGACAATATGTGCTAAAATTGCAGATCGATCAGTCACAAATGATTTCAATGAATACTCAAAGTTAGGTTTGCAGCTTCCTCCTACTGTGACCCAGTTTCAGCAGAGGAAAAGTACACAAGCCAAAAAATATCTGCATGCCACTCCTACATTAAATCTACATCTCCATATTTGTTTGTATACTCAGTACAGTCCTTTCCAAACACTTGCACTTTTGCTAAAAGATGTCTGAATACATAACTTCATGTGCCGCCAATGTTGTCAGCTTATATGGCTCCAAACTACAAACATATGATAGATTTTAAAGGGTCCTTGGGGAGTTTTATTAACCACTTTTAAAGCTGCAGTGTGGAGCATTGCTGCAGTGTGTGGGTCCCTGTTTTGTTTTTCTTGTGTACAAGGACGCACATTAGGTGATACACATTGCAGCCATTCCACTGACTGGTAAAAACTGAAGAAAAATTACCTTTGTAAATGTTTTATGGAGGAAGAAAATGCATTCAACTTATTTGTTAGACCTCAAGGATATGCACAATACATCATGGTGAGTAAAACTGAAATTAAACCAAAACTTTTAAAGGAAAACTCCACAGGGTATATTTAAGGGGATTTAATATTGTACTTCTCTAAAGTTGGGGGGAATCACAATATTCATAACTTCAAAGGAACAGCCAAAATTCTGCAAAGGCCAAGACGTCCTTCTGGACTTTTAGCCGACATTTTCCATAATGCATCCTGTCGTTAGACCCTTTAATTAGCTTGGTAAGTGTCTTAATCTTTCAAACACCTCATCTCAAGTTTGGAACAAGCTTTCTGTTTTTAATTTCTGGACGCTGAACCGAAACTGAAATAACACTGATGGCATCATCAGGGTTATTGTTTGGAAAGCTGCTTCATGGCCACAGAAGACTTTATGCAACTGTTTTCTACCTAACTCACTAGTACTAACAGTGCTATTACAATAACACGACTTGACTCTAACCAGTTTTTGACTCTATCCTCCTGACATTAGGACATCACATTTTGGGTTTGCTTGACCCTATACTTTATTCTACTTAACTAAGATCTATTGTCCTCGTTTGTGGACACTTTTTTGTGCCATCTAGTGGTAGTAAGAGCACAATTCACGAATCCATGGAAAAACAAGATGGCAGCCATCTCTGCCAAGTCAGTCTGCTGCCAATCCTGACACAAAAGCAGACAGATACAAAATGGCAACAGTAACAAGCTAGGACGCTGCTAATTAGGAGGTACTTGTTTGAAGACATTAGGACATTATTATCATCTCGTTTGAGGACATTGGGACTTAATTATCGTTGACAATGCTGAGTTTTTTGCACTCATCAGTTCCTACTGTTCTCAAATACCTAGGAGAAATTAAAAAAGCATACCCATTAAAAGTTCGGTACTCAAGAGGATATAGAAAAGTGGACTTGTCCAACATGACACCGCACATTGGTTTGTGGAATACCGCTTTGAAGTCTTAAGTTTGGGCATCCTGTTTTTTTGGAGCCAACAGTGACCATATTTGGGCGAGAGGGGGGAGCCGTGGAGGGACGAGGCGTGGATCTGACTGAGCACCTGAGGACACTATGCACGCCCACCTATACCAGCAAACTAGCGCCAGCCAGTTGGATCCATAATTCACTTTACCTGTGATATTAATTGGGATTTGGCTGCTGAAAAACAGGCTCAAAACAAAATCTACTTACGGGAAAAAATGAACAGGTGACTTCTTACACCATGTTCACACTGAACGCCAAAAGGCCCCGCTATTTCAGTTGTCACACAGCTGCCTGTCTGCAGGTTCCCTGCTATTCACACAGTGGTGCATTTCTCTGCACCGATCAGAAAGCAATTCTGCTCCTCTGCTCTTTTCTAATCACATGTAGAGCTCTATCTCTGTCTCCTTATGTGTGTGTGTGTGTGTGTGTGTGTGTGTCTGCTCATCTCTCTTGTTCTCTGTTTAGACACATCTGACAAATAGGTGGAAGAACTGGGCGCATATTTTATCTTAATCAGATCATTTATTTCAGATCTAATTTATCTTTTGTATCGCTCATAATAGATTATCAGTGTGTTTTCTTGCCAGATTCATTTGTCGTTTGTGAAAAAAATAGTCCAGATGCCACAACTGATACTGCACATCAGAAGCTGGCTGCAGAGCTCGGGGCTGCGGCACGTCCTGTGTGAACAGCCCAACTGGAACTAGACATTTTAGGCTACCAAAATGTCACAGTTAACTTTCATGAGACGGAAACACATTGCAAAAGTGGACAGCATTGACATCACAAACAGGTTCAGGTCTATTAAAATGTCCACAGTGCAATGGACACACATTCCTACGCCTCTATCCTGATTGACAATTCACTGTGGTAGCAACTTGTTAATCACCAGGTAGCCACGCCCTGAAGCATACCCTGTTTAATGATCTATTTTACTCTAAATGGGACCATAATTTACAAAGTGAACATCATGCTGTACTCAAGAAGACTTGAAACTAGCAACTGAGCCCATAAACTCATTAGGAAAATGTTTACTGAGGTAATAAATCAGAGAGAAGTAGGGTAATTTTCTCTCGACTTCTATACAACCAGACTTCTTTTTGCAACTGGTGAAGCTGTCCACTGCTGACCATTGCAAAGAATGCAGGTTTGAGGCACTTGAATGCATTGGACTCAGACTCAGAGACCCTTGTCCACCTCTTTTATACCTTCTACAGTATATGTAACACATATAGCACACAGACTGCCCACTAGCATTTAACCTAAATGATTAACAATGGTATTTAGTAACATTATTTATTAATTAAGCTCCAGTAGATTCAGTAACAAATGACTGCATTGGTCTTTTGTAAACAGATTTCTTGAGGGTGTTACTACTTGCAAGAGCAACAGTTGTTGATCTTGCTTCTATTTCCATGTTCTATTCACACTACAAAACTGTGACCGGACTAATTCTGCTGTGAGGCAACATGTGTCCCTACAAACAACTTGTGTCACATCATTATGACCTCACCCAGCATGCCTGCTGATCCGGTTGAGTTTCGAGACCCACCTGGTTCTGAATGTAGGCGTGAACTCTTTCAAGCATCCCCTCACAGGTGTACTCATAGGGCAGGAACGGCTCCACCTGCAAACACAGATGTGCACACAGATGAAGAAACAGCAGGGGAGAGTGTGTGTGTGTGTGTGTGTGTGTGTGTGTGTGTGTGTGTGTGTGCATGCGTGTCCACAGAACCAAGCCATTGTAATTACAGGAGCCGAGCATCTGATGGTTAATCAAAGCTGACATATTCATTAGCGTAATTGTGAGAGGCTTATGTCATGCCACAAGCCACACATTAAAATCAATGACCTAATACATCACAGGTGACAGCGCTGAAAATTGATTTCATTATTTTTAGTGATGACTGCATCAATATGTCAAACAATGGATTAAAGTGACAGCGGATCACAGGTCACATGGCACCGGGGTGGCTGGTGTTTTTGTGCACTCGGGGTCCTTTGGGTGCTGTTATCAGTGTCACTGTTAAGGCCTGTCACTCAGTGTCTGACTCTTTGATGGGAGGAAAGTGAGGCGAACTCACTGAGGGAACACTGATCAATAGCTTTTCCTTTTCTTTCTAGTGTTTTGTGCTAACGGAGTCGATGTTGACAAAGACGCACTTTTGATGAGGGTGTAGAAAAGTCACTGCAGTTCGATGTCTGTGGAGATGAGTTTTATATTACTGTAATTACTGCATTTTTAAACCTATTGTATTTCTGATGATTTCGATAATTACGACTTATATTAGGACACATTCTGTCGGGACTGTCGGTGCAGAATGTGAATGTGCAGTGAATGTCTCCCTTGGTAGCTAAAGTGAGATCTCATTGTTTACCATCGGGCCACTAAAGCACTCAGGCTTTTAAATTGATAAATGGTTCCTTTTAGTGTTGTGTTCCTTTTAGCACTCTCGTATTACTTTATTTCATCTGAGTTTAATGAAATGTATCTGGCACTTCATCAGATATTCTGCAATGCAATTTGCCTTTTGGGCATCTTTATATAATAGAATGTGAGCGCAGGAGAGAGAAAGAATGCTTCATAGAGGGTGATTTGAATTCAGCAGCGGAAAACATTTTTAAAATGACTGTGCAATTTATATGCCCAAACTGAATGCATTGCTCGGCCACAAAAATATGTGAGCAACATTCATTATATCATGCCATCATCGATGACGATAAAATCAAACGTCCCTGAGCTGAGTTATGCTGGCAGCAGCCATGTCCAGAAGACGGCACACAAACCCAGCTGGTGGGTAAGATTGGGCAGGTGTCTCAGACATTTTAGTGCTTCTTTATCAGCCGCCTGTTTCCCTTATTTCCATGATGCACTGTTGCCATGGTGCCATTAAAGTCTGAGGCAACAGTGTGTCAGACAGGCAGCCAGCTCTCGAGTTTGCTGACAGAAGAAGCAATGTAAAATCATAAGCAGCAGCACTACAAACAAACCCTATGCAAACAAGTGTTGAGTAATTACATTATGTGCTCAGCTTGGAAAACACATACTGTAAGTAAACTAGGATGCATCTCAAAAAACTTAACTTTTCATCACATATACTGAACTACTATTATTGCAAATACTAAGGGAAATTTGCAGAAAATGTAACATTATGAAACAGCAGTTGGTTAGCTAAGCTTAGCTTAGCATAAAAACTGGCAACAAAGAGAAACAGCCAGCCTGGCTCTGTGTCAGGGTAATAGAATCTGCCTACCAGCACCTTCACGAGTTCACTAAAGCCCCTTTCACACATGCACTGTAATCCTGGTCTTATCTAGACATTATCAGGACAATCTGTACATGAGAATGTAAACATTCAAATCTGTTGGACTTGACATTAAACAGACTTTACCTTGTAAGAATAAGGTTGATAAACAACTTTTTAGGTTACAGTTTGCTGGCTTCTGAACATGATGAGATGACCCAATGAGAGCTGACAAGAACACGCATCAGGGCTGCGTTCAGCCCTGCAGAAACGTAGCAAAATGTTTATTCAAACGTAAATCACAGTGTTTTGATCACCCCGTTGTGTTACACCGCATTTTAATATGGCAGGGATTAATTCAGTTAAATTCAAAGGGTATATTGTCATGGGAAACATACACCGATCAGCCAAAAAATTAGAACCACTGTTGAGTGAAGTGAGTAACATTGATAATCTTGTTACAATGCAATGCTTCCCTTGGGAACTTTTGGTCCAGAAATTCATGAGGATGCTACGTGAAGTGCTCCACCCACCCAAACACTTCTGAGATCAAGTTTCGCTCCTCATGGCAGCGGCACTCCCTGATGGCGGTGGCCCCCCCAGCAGGAAAATGCACCATGCTACACTGTAGAAACTGCTCAGGAATGGCCAGAGGAACGTGACAAAAAGCTAAAGGCATCGACATGGCCTCCAAATTTCCCAGATTCAAGTCTGATCGAGCATTCATGGGACGTGCTGGTACCCCAGAGGTACCCCCACAGTGGAGCCTCCATGGATCGGACTTGTCTTTGACATGTCAAGGCATGGACATATGAGCTCTGGAAGGTGTCCTGTGGTGTCTGCCACCGGGATGCTGGCTCCGGAGCATTTGAGACCTGTCACACCTCAAAGCCATGTCATTCAACCTGGACATTGTAGCAAAACGGTGCACATTGTTGGCTCCTTGTTGAGTTTAGGATCCAGTCCAAATTCTTAGTCTTACGTACAGAGCATTACACGGTCAGGCTCGCTCTTATGTAGCTGAACTACTTCACCCGTATTCCTCAGCTCGCTCCCTCCGATCAAATACGCTACCTTTGTTGTCTGTCCTTTGCACTCGCCTTAAATTGAGCACCTAAATTTTGGAATGCTCTCCTCTCCCTTACGATCTGCTATCTCTATGGTTTCCTTTAAAAGCCGGCTAAAGACACACCTGTTTGGACAGGAATTTGGGTAACCTGTTTGCATCAGAGCTGTAAAAAGCTTTAAAGTTTTGCTAGTTGTGCACTTTTCACTACGTTCGTCTCTATCATTTCTTTCCTGTTGAATATTGCCCTTGTGAAGCACTTTGTGACCTATGTCTGCGAAAAGCGCAATATAAGTACATTTTTTGAAGGAATGGCAAGAGATTCAGTCATATATGACCAAATTACATGTATGTACTGGCTTTGTAAACTAAAAAAACTCTTCCATTTCCGTGGCGTAGTTTTTGTGTCATGCCTCCCCCTCGCCAAAACCAAACCAAAACCCAAACCGTTTCCAGTATGTCAGAACGTGTCAGACGCAGACAATCTTCTGTTGTTACATGTGTGAAAGGGCAACTCCAAACCTCCAAACTCCTATGTCCAATGTTCATATGTGAAAACAGCTAAATCAAGACATAATATCTTCTTTGTTTAATTGGCACAAAAGCCAAAGTGTTAAAAAAGCGACGAGCTGCCAGGCAACCAGCGGACTCCAGTAAGTTCCTGCTTTCAGCCAAGAAACAGTCTGTGACATAACTTGTTAATTATTGAGCTTTAGAGGTGCAGGTAGGTGGAGCCAGGCTGGCTGTTTCCCCCTGCTCCCAGTCTCTGTGCTAAGCTAAGCTACAGGCTGCCCATGATAGCTTCACGGTTACATATGAGAGTGGTAACAAACTTCTCATCTTACTCTCGGTAAGACAGTAAAAAAGTACATTGGGCAAAATGTCACACTTTTTCTTTTTTAACATTTTCTTTACATGTTTAGCATTTCAGAGTATAATTTGTCATGTTGATTACCAGTGAAAATTTAACCAACCATGATTACAAATGTCAAATAACATGCACTTTTTTTCCATCTGTGTCTGAATCAAACACACATGCACGTATCTGGTGTGCTCATCATGATCATGGAAAATAAATCTGCTCTTGCTTTAATTCAGTCTTTTAAAAAGTAAGTTGAAACTTGCACATTAAGCCTGTGTGATCAGTATTGTTCCCATCCGCACTATCCACTTTTAAAACATCTACCAGCGCCACAACTGGTACTTCATTTTGCCTCTATCAGCAGGAAACACAAGGTCTATTTAACACACCTGGCAGGTAGAGGCACATATGCGTATTTGCACTGCGAGAGGTTTGGCCGTGGCTCGGTGTTGCTCTAGTGACAGATTGAGCACAGCGTGATTGATTAATATGATCTGCTGCGGACAATGCTTTCTGCCTGTGGGGCTGGCCTCTGGAAGGCTGCCATGTAAACCCAGGTGTGGGCACAGTTTACATACTGAGCCGCTCAATATCTCAAGCAATTAGCAGCTCGCAGAGCAGAGAGGGAACCAGCTAAGCATTTTGTTGTAATGCAGGACGCCGTGATTAAGAGCTCTATTAAAGGATGAGGGCTTCAAAAGTGGGTCAGGCCAGCCTATAAAGTGTGCAGGAGCACACTATTATCATCAGCATCGTTATGCAGCAGTGTAAAATGTACTGTAGTAGACTATAATAGAAGAACATTATTGTGTTGAATGAGCAGAGCTGAGTTTGGATGGCGAACACCAGTAAATTAACATACATTGATCCTTATAATCTCACGGATGGTCGCATCAAACTCCTCAGAGTTATTGAAGTCGACAGTGATGACATGCGGCCTGCCGATATACTGCTCTGCATACGGATGCTGAGAGGACACCTGAGGGAGGAAGAGATGAAATATATTTACTATCACAATATAACAGCCATTGAAGTCGAGATCTGTGCACTCACTGCATATTTATGTACTGTTATAGGTGCTGAGCAGCACAAGTGCATCTACCTTCCTGGAGGTGGGCTTCCCCCTGAATAAGTCATGATTCAGAGAGCTGTGAGGCGGGTTAAACTTGGGTTGTAGGAAGATGCAGCCATTGGCTATGGCCTCCAAAGGGGCGGGGCCTTCTTAGGGGAAGCCAAACCCAATGAACAGCTTGACAGGAAAAAAAAAAAGGAGGATCATGAGTCTATACGTTGAGCGCTAATATCCAGGTCAAAACTCGCTAGACTTTAACAAAGCATTTCATTATGATTCAGAATTCGTGTATGCAAACATCTGAGCATTTTCCAAGCCCCTGACAGCCTCAGTGATGGTCCCACCTTGGCCTTTCTGAGGAGCTGCTGCAGCTCCTGCTGAGGCAGCAGACCGTGGTTCTTGACAAATGCGGGCACCTCTGGGGGGCGCTGCGTCTCATAGTACACCGTCCCGTGGATCTCCATGTAGCGATGCAGAATGGCCAGGAACTTTTCCTTTCCCTTTGAGACAAAGACACAAAATGAATCAAGGAAGGAAATGTAAAGTAAGTGCTTTATTATCGCATTAAAAAAAAAAAAAAAAAAAAAAAATTCAGTGCACAGAAAAAGTCTGAAATCCTATCCTATCTCAATTTAGTATGACATGTAGGATTTTTGGTGTTACAGAAACATGTTTTCCACCTATCTTATCTTAGGATAGAAATTTAGTTATTACACAACCTTAAGATAGGAATCTTGAGCTAGGATGGCATAGACCCCAGCCTAAATTTAATAAATGGCCAATGGCCATCTGTATGAAATCATCTTTGGGAAAAATTTATTTGACATTCGTTTTTAATTTGTCTCATGTGCCATGTGCCAACAAGAATGGGGCAGGGATTAAAACCTATACTGCAACCAGCCACCAGGTGGCTTCATTTTTGGGCAGCTGTCCATAGACTGTAAAAATAATGGAACTAGCTACCATGACATCACCCACTGGTTTGTGGACTCCCATTTTGAAGCCTTAAGTTTGGCATTTCAGCTGTCACCATCTTGTTTTTTTTGGAGCCAGAAGTGACCATATCTGGGTGAGAGGCTGGCACGGTGGAGGAGCGAGGGCTGGATCTGACTGAGAAAATGGGGACACTATTGGCAGACAGCCTGTCACACAAAGTGGCCCATCCCTAATTATGTATATCTTTAAGCGTTAATAAAATGCAAACAGGTTGGTTATATTAAAATGTGTCCCCTGTGAAGTTGTCATGAAGCTATAGAGACCAAAACTGTTTTTGTACCTGGCTGTAACAACACATTCTCACTCTGACCTCGTAACATATTAACCATTGGTCACGGACTTTCCACGTCCAGATACGATGTACAAGATACCCTGGGTGCGTTGGTTGTTGACATTCTGGGATGGCGTGTCAAGTTCTGCCTGTTACATGCATTGTGTTTTCAAAGGAAATGTACTGTTTACATACAGTATCTTTCAAAACAGAGGCACTACGTTGGTACAGCATTGCGAACAGATGTTTTTTTCCTTCAACAACAAACACACATTGTTAGGTTTGGGAAAAAAAAGAACAGGATTTGGTTTTATAATCTTTCGGGACGCTAACACTGCTCTCCCAGGTGAAAATCAGTGTTTGTTGGACCAACCCGCCCCACTTGGACTTTCGCCACCTTAACTTTTGTTCTTGTCCCGCGGAGCACTGTTAAAATATAGTGGTGACCAGCCAAGTATCATGCTGATGTTAAAGGACGACTTTTGTTATCAGTGTCTGACACTGCAAGTCACTGCCCAAGCATTGGACTTTCACGACTTTGGAGTGAACATAACATAACATACATAATACATAGTGTACATAAACATGTTTATATCTGCTGTAAAGTTGGGCATTTTAACACTGGTGTCTCTGGGGACTGACTGGGTTCTGCAGCCAGCCTCAAGTGGCCACACAAGGAACTGCAGTTTTTGGCACTTCAGTTTTGGCTTCCTTATTCAGTTCCGTAGGTTGCTGCTTGGAGCTGGCATATCATCCATCTTCATTGTACAGGCTATAGTTAGGATATTTTTCTGTAATGAGGCCCCTGTTGGTTAGTTTTAGCATTTGATTGCTCACTTTGTGTTTGGCATATATTTCCATGGTTGTCAAGACTGCTCCCCTTGATATATCAAATAATAATTTCACCTACAGTTTGGACATTTTATGTAGCATATTTGTTGAGCTATTAGTTTTCTTTTGTCACTTTGAAAACTCACAAATCAAAGTAAAGACCTCTAAAGCCTGTCAAATGCTGCCAATACTAATCCAGCCAAACATGAGCCATCTTTGAAACATTTGCTATTTGATTTAGTTCAAAGTTAAAGTCTGTTTTTATGAACTGATTACATTAACATGAACCAATCTGCCTCATTGGACTGCACAGACAGAATATCTGATGCCAGCTGTACTTTTATTTGCCCTTTCTTGTTTTACGTTGTAGTACATTTACTTTACACGCTGCAAAGTTTCTCCCCTTCAGCGCCAAAACCACTGCTACGGTTAAATGAGCTGAACAGATTCATCAGTATAACACAGAACTACTCTTGAAAGGAGAAAAGCCCAAAGGTGTTGAGGAGGGTGAGAGTATCACCTCAGCCTGAACAACAGTATTGGTTATTGGAAATGAGGCAGATCTAATGAGCTGAGTCTGCTCTTGTTAGCACTAACATCATTATCATCTTGGTAACTGCTAACTATCCGGTACCTGTGAAGTTATGAAGGACTTAAATCGATGCATATCTTCTGTGTTGCTCTGTGGGGACAAATTGTTTGAACCATTTCACTGACGTGAAGCTGAATTAGTTTATCTCAAATAGCGTTTCATGGGGAATGTTATGAATTATTCACTTGTGTGATGTCTTCAAGGCATAAATCGTTTTTCATCTTGAGCCATTTTAATGTCTTCGATCAACATGCAGATGAAATCACACTTTCTTCCACTTGTAGAAACATTGCTCCCAAAATGTCTTGAAAATCAAACATTCTTGGATTCATTCATTCCTTAAAATGAATTACGTTTGTGATTAGCTTTTATATAGAAAAAGAAATTACGACAAAGCTTCTCCACTTCATTCAGTAACTTATCTAAATCTGTTAAAAGGGGATCTGTTATATTTTTATGTATTATGTGTCTTATATATAGTGTTACAGTGAAGGATGATTATATTAACCATAGACCAGACTGGCACGTACAAGTCCTTCTAGGCAATGCTGATCAAATATAGACCAATATTCTGTTGCTATATTGCCTATTTCTTACCTAAAATGCCTTCAGAAACATATTAAGTCCACTGTTTGGTTGTAATATGAAAATTTGTGTAAAAGCAGTGGGTGCCATACTGTTTCCTGTATTGTAAAAATGGAGCCTGAAAAAATGGATCAAATTGTAACACTTTCCAGAGACATATTTAATCTTACAGTTTAAGTGTAATTCTAAATTGTTTGTTACCTGTCGGCTGCCATATTGTTTCCTGAAGAGAACCTACCAAGCTCAAATAACATCACCCACTAGTGGGAACTTTTATTGGTCCAGTGCGGCACAGTGCATTATGGTAATTGTAGGTTTTGAGGAAAAGCAAATGCCACAACTCTTATCCTTTGTTTTCTCTGGTCAAATTGCACCACTTCCAAAGTGTGTGTGTCTTTCTACTAAATCGACAGCCCAGTTTTAGGAAGAGAGCATCTTTCCAGCGGTGAAATACTTTTTTAACTCCACTTTATGGTGTCAGCAATATTTCATCATGGTTAATTTAATCTGGTATCATTTGTTTCTATTTGATTATTTGATTTTACAGTTTGACCCTCCAGCTTTCCAACCCACTAACTGCTGCACCAGCTGCATATGACCATTCAACATCGCTAAAGATTAAAAAAATGAGGTAAATGTTTGTAAGAGCAATCCCTGAGAGCAAAAATCTCAAGCTTCAGACCATTCTGAATACTCTGTTTCCAATGTTTTTCTACTCTGGCTACAGTATGACCTCAAAGGGTGCCATATTTCTTTAGACATTCATCTTCTCCAGGCACGCTTCTGCAAGTGTTCACATTATGTAGCCTACACTGCTACATGTAGCTACATGCTAACGTCAGGGAAACATGTAATCTTGGTTGCTGATGTTGTTAATTTCTCCTCAATTTGGGATCATATTCCTGCTGGAACATTTTTATCAGTGATTTTTCATGGAAGAATATGCTGCTATTTTCAATGACAGCGCAGATACGCCGAGATACATTGGACCCAGAACCAGTCAGAGCAGACTGGGCTTTTTTAGGACGGGGGCTTTAAGAGACAGGTGCTAAATTGGAGCTTCTCAGACAGTTCTAGTACAGACACTATGAGAAAAAAAAGTGTTTTTGACTATTAAAGCATGTTCTAGTAAAAACCTACATACAAGTATGAACCTGAGAATGAGCAAAATAGGTCCTCTTTAAATGGTTTTATTTTATATGATGCTCCTCTGTGCGACTTTACAAAGTTTATACTTTAGTAATAAATCTGAATGATGTGAGATATTTTATATGTTTGAGGTTGCTGTGAACAAGTCTGATATTTTTGAATGTCTGTTTCCTGAGCTGAAATCCAAAAGTTAGGCTTTGATATATAAATTCCTGCCGAACACAACTGAAGTGGAAGATGAGGTCTGTTTTTTGGTATTCGTAGAATCGATAATGCCAGTGAAGAGCAGGTGTACTCACTTGAAGCTGTGTGGATCCATCAATGATGCATCATGGGATGATGAATACAGAATAGTGCAGGGTGAGAACAGAAGTATGAAGAGCAGGGAAGCGGAGCAGAGGGAGGCAGGCGTATAGAGAAAAAGACAAAATATGACATGAAGTATTAGTCATTTTTCCTCTCATAGGACCTTTACAGGCCCCAAATCTCTCATGTGAACCACAAAACCTTAAAAGGTGGAGGAAGAGACTGCTCAACGAGGAGGGATTCATTGTCTGGAGACACCCGGCACTGCCAGCTTTTACGCCGCAATCTGTCAGATGCACAAATGTTACATTGCAGCTCGAGTTGTTCTGAGAAACAGGGAATGTTATGTCGGTGTAGGAACAAAGCTGCAGTCAGTGAAGTGAACCAAACCTTGTGGGAGGCTGCAGCACACTTCAAAGTTACAGTAAGTACGAGAACCCTTGCCAGCAGCTCGAAGGGAAAATTTACTCTAAACAAAAATGATTGTTCTTCTACCATCACACTTCAGGCCAGATTCCTGGAGGAGAAACACGTTTGGAGGAAATGTAATATCTAGTGGGTGTTTCACAGTGCACAATGTGGAGGTTTGCTAAGCAAAGTGGGATTCAAAAGTTCTCCAAACTTTACACGTATCTGGATTTTATCCAACTCAAAGAAACTTAGAATGTGGCAATTATAACATTCAATCTGTTGGAGTCATTTGTCACGCGTAGGGGTGTAACGACTCCTCTAAATCACTTTGGGCCTCAAAATCAAGACAACTGTGGAGCTTTGAGGGGCGTAAACAAGAATTGTAATGGTTCCCTGCAGGCTCCGACTTGAGCTCTGTTTTAGTCTATATTTGTTTACATTCTGGCAAATGAACAGATTTAAAAGTATGCTGAATTACGTCTCTGCAAACTACCGACACGTTAATTTGTGTGTTTCACAGGTATCATATTTCTAAAGTGACATAGTTCTGATTATATGGATGGTTGATGGTGTGACAACTAGAGGCCTCCCAAGCTGCAGACCGCTGTTCGAGACCAACAAACCCAAAAAAAAAGGTGTTTTTTTTTTTTGGAGTCATTGCTTTATTTCCGGCTGCTTTTTAACCGCAAAACGTGAGGGCTTTTTAGTGACCCGTCACTGTGTTTCCACTAGGGATAGTGTTACAAAAAGTGTTTGTAACACTGTGATATTGCTGTGTTTCCTGCTGGGATAATACCACAAAAAAAGGTTGTTTTTTATCTAAACAGTGCTGCGTTTCCTGCCAGGATAGCGCAACAAAAAGCGCTTAGCTGGTAATAAGATATAAATCCCATGTATAGGGCTGTTTTGTGAGTGAACAAAATAAATTTCTGTACAGCATATAGACTGCAGAAGTTCAAATAGGGAGATGTTTCTAAATAAGGACAGATGACTATGACAAATAAACTTGGTCGGCCGATTAGTCACATCAGAAGATCTTTTTTTGTTGTTTTGGCCATTTTTCTGGCCTTAATATTTGGCATTACCCTGCACAATCTATAGGGTAGGCAGCATAATACAGTGCATTTGACTCCCCTCTATAGCCTATATTTCTGCATATTCCTGTATCATGATGTTGTTAAATATTATTTTTGGCCTACACAATTCATGTATTGTTTAAGAGGCTACAGTTACTATTCTACATATACATATGTTTTGTTTTTTTAAGGCGGCTATTGAAAAAAAATCTACCAGATCACTTCCATATTGCAATGAATTGTGGGCAGTTAAATCAGTGAAGGCTGCTTAGGTCTGCACCCCAAGTGGACTCACTGGAAGTCTGCAGAAGTCCACTTGAGGCCCCTTGTGGACTTGTTGGATTGTAAATTTTGACAGCACTGAGTACTCCCAGACTTCCTGGGAATGTGCCCGCAAAGTCTACAAGTCTGCAAGTCCGGACATTTGGATTTTTTATTTTTTATCAAGACATCGCTGCTTTTCCTGCCAGAGTATTTTCAGTCAAAACATGACTGTTTTTGTGCCAAAACCTATCCACACATCAATCACATCATTGTTGAAACGTATACAAACGGGAAGTTTCAGTGTATCCCCTACATAATTACGTACAAATGTAACGTATCTGTGGTTTGCAGAAATGTACAACGGCAACATTTATTCAGCCGATTGGGCTGCAAGTGAGCAATTAGCAGTGTTTGCAATGTACCCATGGATGTACAGACAACTATAATGGGATCACTTTGATACTGAAGAAAACTGAAAATCTAGTCATGCAGTTATAAGAAGCATCTTTTTCTAGGATTTCCGAGAAGATTTATAGATTTGTATTGGTGATGGACATGAAATAATTCCACCCTCTGGAGGTGTAAATCACACTAAATCTGACAAAAAGTGTTCATGTTTAGATTTGGCCTGAAATTCTGAAATTCACCTCATGTAGCATCTCTGCATGGTGAGGAATTACACAATATCACACATGCACAGGGCATCTTGCGAGAGGAATTGGACACGCTACCTCTTGAAAAGCTTTTATGGCTCATTTCAGAGGCTCACCCCGTTCTACTGAGAGGTGGTAAGAGCACATCTTCACAAGAGCCATTAGAGTCACATGAAACCATTCAAGAGGTTGTAGGAAGCCTCTCACATGTGTTGTGAAATGTCCTGTTGCGCCTCTATAACAGATTGACACCTATTTATAATCAGCCTGTTTGAACCCATAGTTACACAAGATGGCATCAGACTGAACAGGATCATGGAGGGTTCCTCATGGAGAGAAATTATATTCTAGAAATATGTCTTGCATGATCGACAAATGAGAAATAAGATTTATAAATGTGTACAATGATTGTGCATAAGTTTGGATACTCACAAATGTGTGTTCCAACCTGGACATAACTAATCTAAATAAATATTAATATTTTACGTACAGGTTTCTTTACAGATTCTTTTCACGGTCTCCAGCTACACATAATTCACAAATGCATGCTGCATTTAAAGGCAGGGTCTGGAGGATTTTCCAGTTGCTGTTTGTAAACACACATTCAAATTTGGCCCCTCCTATCAGGCTCAACTCTCCCGGGTGTACGGAGCCCGGAGGTACGGAAGAAGGCTTCACAGAAGAGGTTCAGGCAAGGCTCGTGCTGGTGCACACTCGGACACGCTCGGGCACGGCACCTGCGCTCTCTCATTGGCTGGGGAAATCTCCGCCCAGAAGCGGTCCAAGCTCACAAAAACATCAAAATACAGTTAAAGGGCAGGAGCTCTGCAAACAGAGTCACCACCACACATGAGTAGAAGCCCATAGGTGATGATTAAGCAGGATTTCATTTGTATATGTCTATATTTTGTTTTGTTTGAAAATCCTCCAAGATCCTACTTTTAAGTGCTGGTGGATAACTGGGACATCTGGGCTTTCAATTTCAAAGTGGGAAAGATAACCTCGGTGTGTAAAGACCATCCACTCTAGCATCAACCTTTTTGCCTGGACTAGATCCACCATCCACTGCCTAGCAGTAACTTATAAGAACAATAAATTTATATTTATTTTTAGGGTTTTTAGGGTTATTTATAGGGTTCATGGTGACATGGTTGGGTTTAGGTAACAAAAGCATTTGGTTAGGTTTAGGAAAAAAGAACAGGGTTTGGCTTTATAATCTTATGGGACACGAACACTGCTCTCTTGGATGAAAAGTCTATGTTTGTTGGACCCATCCACCACACACTCAGACTTTTGCCACCTTAACTTTCATTCTTGTCCTGACATGTTTCCCCCTGACGCCACCGGGGACCATTAAATCACAACAGCAAACAGCCGCTTATCAAAGCAACATTAAAGGACGCCTTTTTTCGCTGGTTTCTGACATTGCAAGTCAATGCCCAAGCGCCGTATTAAGACGACTCTGGGGTGAGACCGGGCTCTTTTCCACCAGCACTTAGGTCCTGTTTACATGACAATGATTTCAACCAAAAACAGCAAACTTTAGTTGCATTTTGGCCGATCGTTTACACGACAGCGGCGTTTTGGGTGCCTGAAAAAGCAACATTTTGAAAACGGGTTCCACTCACTCCTACGAGTGCACTCTTTTGGAAACAGCACCGTCTCCATTGTCATGTTAACTTGCAATATGCAGTTACTCTGAACATGGAGACTTTTTGCACATTGCGCATTACGGTTCCAGTTACTAGGCATGCGTGAGAAAGTCAACCATCACAACAACAATGGTGGACCCCCGAGCTCTGTTTGTGCTGCTCACCCTATTGAATTTATCAACGCTTCTCCAGCGTCTAGATTTACAAATGTTCCTGCGGTTGCCATTTTGTTTGTTTATACATTGCTTCTCTGTAGAAGGAAGTGCATGTGTGCAGGCATGTGTTGTTTCATTACAAAGTCACACTGCCAAATGCTGGCCTGGCATGAATACTACAGCGTTTTTGGTCATTTTTGCAGATCTGTGTGCACGACGATTGTTATCAAAACGATGGCGTCTGAACGTGGAACTTTTTTCAAAACGAAAATGAGAGCGGATCGTTTTCCTGTAAACATGGTCTTAAACGCTGTATGCAACTGTGAATCTGTGTGGATCTGGAGACTGTGAAGAGTGTGGATTGTGTGATGGCCAAGGCCACACAAAGTGAAAGCCTGAAGTGGTAATATTGTTCACACACTCACCTCACCATTTTGTTAAGTACATTGGTTAGTTTTATTTGCAGGCAACCACAACTCAAACAGTTCAGATCCAAATTTTAACCCACACCACACAGTTTTTGTCCTCTGTCCTTCTCTGTTTGAGTTACTGTGCTGGTTGGAGGTCATTTCCTGGAGAAGCACAATGTGTGGCCAAGGACAGTGAGCTGCTAAATCCTGTGGGCTGTGGCCAACTCATCAGACAAAACCATCTACTGTTATGTCAGAGGAGGTATTTGGGTTAACTTAGTTTTTCCTTTGTATTAGTTCTAGTTAAACATTGTTAAACTCATATTTCATTTTGTTGGGTCAGTTTGCTCAGTTAACACCTTGTTTTGTTGCTGTTGTTTTGAGTATAGTTCTGTTTTGTTGACCTCTTTTATGAGCCTAGTTATTAAGCTATTAGTTTGTGTTGTTTTTGCATTTCTGGGGTAAATAAAAACCCTATATTTTCCCCAACTAACTCCTGTTTTCCTCATCACACAGTTGAAAGACACATTTATTAAGTACCCAAACACACAAATCATTGTGCACACTTCATTTGTAGATAATATGAAACACATTTGTGACAGTTTTGAGTTCAATTTCTCTCCACAGTTCTCTGTCTCTTGACTCTGTGTGCCCTTTAAATCTACTTGTAATTCTCCATCTCAGAGCCACAGAGTGAAAGTGTTGTTTTAAAGGAAACAAAAAAGATTAAAGATCAGAAGTTCCTCAGTCCGTATCTTAGAATCTGAACTGTTTCCTTAATCTCAGAAATTAGACGCACGCTGATTATTTACTGAAAGTTTTTGCAGGGGTTATTCTGTGATACTGACCTTCCACATACTGGCTTCTTTGCCGTACACAACAGCCATATTGTTAACCTTGTTCCGCTGAATGTTCAGTCGTTCCGTCTCATTCAGTTCCTCCGCCACAAAACCCATAAAAGAGTTATCTGGAGTGTGGGCTGCCAAGGACAAACAAAGCAATTGGCAACACAACGTTACAAGTCCAATTTCATGTCTCACAAAAAAAGTGATTAGACTAAAAGGAGCTGCTGTGGAGATGTAGACTGCTGTGCATGTAAAGAATGCATAACAAAAGAAGAACAGTGGTTTTGTTATGGGTTATTATTGTATTTATTTGTAAGATGATGCCACTGCTAACTCCATCAGCTAAAGAAACGGTGGACTGTATTTGCATTCAAATCACCAGCGTGGCTGACTCCACTGCATACTAACAATAAGGTGAAGCAATTTTACAAGAGCGACACTTTCCTCTCTGTCATCTTTGCTGTTGTTTTAACCTTCAAAGAGTTTTGGATTGCCGCTTTAATGTGCCACAGCTTACAACTTTCAGGACACAGCACAACACAATGAATATTGGCGCGCACAAAGGAAATCTACGACAGCAGGGAGATGTCAAGTGGGAAGGAAAAAGGAACAGTATTTTCAGTCAATTTTCAAAGCCGAGATGAAAGCTGACATCTTTCACAGTGTCGGGCTTTGTGATAACGGCAAGTATTTTGCTGATTGTCACTGAGTTAATTGGAGACTGCACAAACGGTTTCCTCTGTCACCAATTTCACCAAATGTGCCGTGAATGCTTCTGTGTGTGTGAGTATTGTAGTGTGTGTATGGCTGGCGGTGCTCGGTTCGCAGCAGGTGGCTTCAGGCATCTGTTCGGGCACAGCTGCTCTGAGAGAGTTCTCTGACCTGTTTGTGGCCCAAAGCCTGGGCAGTTACAGTCTGAGGACTTTCTAAACTCCCACAATCTGCTCCCACTCTCGGTCACATAAACACAGACGAACACGAATCAAAACACTTCATGTTTTTGATCTCTTCTGTGAGCGTTTATTCAGACCATTTCCCATATGCAGATGAAGAACCTCAGTGAGTGTTAGAGAAATGAAAGCCCACATACGGAACATGGTCATGTACTGCTGGCCGTGGAGGTTCCAGTAACCCCAGTTGGTCCTGTAGCCGTGCAGAGTGGCGTACTCCTCGTGGTTGTAAGCAGGCTCCGTGCCGAAGGTGTCAATCACTCGGATGTGGCACCTGGGACGAAATAAGAAATAGGCTGAGCTAAAATTAGATCAAAGTTATCTCCTGCTTTCAAATAATAAAGTCTCCCACTGATTTAGTGGGACAAACAAAAGCGATAAAGTGGAAAATAATTCCACCCTGCTTGGTTTATTTCACCTAATGCAGCACATGTATGCAGAATCTGTCAACAGCACGACGGAAAATATCTTCCTCATTTTGAGCTACGGGAGTTCATCTCAGCACCATCACTGTCTTGTTGTCAGAGTGTTGGTTTGTAAAGCTGTCAGTGGTGATGGATATCCACGTCCCCTGCCAGCCCGCCGCCACTGAGCAGAGCTTACACGGACCTCAAGGTGAGATGTGTGAGGTTTAAATCACAGCCTTGTTTCACAGCCACAGGGCCCTCTGCTGGCCCAGGTCACGACACGGGCTGGACAAGCCTGAGATGAATATGAGTCAAGCGCTTGGACCAATACTCATCTCCGAAGTACATTTTAAGGAGATGCCAAACACTCTTGCCATGAGTGAGTCGGAAAATGATTAAAATTCTCTCTGATAACTTGAAGGCAACTAGTCAACAGGGAGTCGATTACACTCTCATCAGCACTAAAACATCTTTAAATATGTTGTCCTCCCAGATCAAACTCAAACAAATAACCCACGGAGGAACAGAGGAGACATTATGTGTTAAGTTTACAGCGAGAGAAGAAGAAAATTACATCAGCACTTTATCAGCAGTGAATTTTCACACTGGTTAGTCAAAAAAAAATCGATTGATGTAATCCAATCTGAGATTCATCAATGCCACGCATCGCTAATCAGTGTCAGGCCAGGAGGGTAAATTAAGTATCGGTCTCTCGCTCTGTGACAGCTGAGGAGCGCTGGTCGATCAGCTGACCTTGGATTGAGGATTTCACGGCTGCTCTGCCAGGTTTGAGAGAATTTAAAATGCAGGAGAATCAGGGTGAAATATTGTGAGATGTTTCTCTCTATCTCTCTCTATCTCCAAGAGGTGACACAAAGGAGATTAAGCTTATGGCCCACTGATGTAACCATTGCACAGGGTATCTGCAGGTATCAGACACTTCAATGTAATTCTTTTTCAGACCCCTTCAAAATATATTTTTAGTATTTTATTATTACTTACCGTAAAACTTCAATTAAATTATTTGTTAGAATCACTGAAATCAACAGACCTATACTTGGGACAGGCCTTTAATTTCTTTCACACAAAATTGTTGCTTGGCAAAGATCAGGAAATGCAATGAAACTGTTTATTTAATCCAGTATGAATATTACTTGCTTAGAGATTGAGCTTCAACTAGCATATTAATTATGAATCATTCATTTGATCTAGCTCCAACAGGCAGGGCATCAGAGAAAGAGTTAGGGCTCTTGAGGATTACGGCACCCAGCACCCAGCATACCGACACAACACCACTTTATCCTGTTAAAACAATACTCGCAACTTGGATTCATTTTTATTAAAGTCCCTTTTGAATCTGTGGATGTGAGGACCCTAATGGACTAAAGGAATATGAATAACTTACAGGGTAATCTGGGACTGGACACATAATTTGAGGTAGCCAACAACCCGATTTTGTACATCCAAAAAAAATGAACTACTTGGTAACCAGACCAGGTGTGTAATTGACTCTTTGCTAAGTCCCGCCCCTGGACACAGACTGGCCAAACATAACGTAGCATCAGGCCGGCTCAGACCAGGGTCCGCTGACAGCAACACAGCTGTGCTCCATCATTTCAGATTTCCTTCATTTTCAGGCTGGTTTTGTGGATTTGGAGCTAAATGTTGTGCCTGGGGCACGTCGTGTATTAATGATACTCGTTACCTGGAGAGGTTGGAAAAAGATATACGTTTCTCCCCTGTTCCAAAACCAAAATCATACCCTGAAAAGTGTAGGGTTAGCTAGCTAGCTACTGAAGATATAGCCTACTGAATGTATACACATGCTGCTTTTGCTTTGTAATGATTATATCAGTGAAACAAAGACTGATCCTGCTGTACAGGAACCAGTGAAGGGAAGCAGGGAAACTTTGCTGATATTCAACCAGCTGTGTGTCATCACAGTGTGTGCAGATGAATGTTGACTTGCCCTGGAGATCCCTGGATGGGGGTGAAGCCAAACACCGTTCATCTGCACACACTGCGATGCCACACAGCTGGTTGAATATCAGCAAAGTTTCCCTTTATATTCATTGTCTTGTGTGGCGATCAGCAGTGATGTGGTGGTTCACTTTTACACTGTGATCTGTAGCCTATAGTTCGGCTTTAGCTTCTAACTATCTTTGTCTTTTTAACCTGTTGTTGCTGCTGAGTCAGTCTGACATCCTGGATATATCCTTCAAACACAGACTGTAGACCCCTCCCAACTCCAACAGGGGGTGACATGTATGGGAACTGCCCATTGGTCTGACAACCCATTGGTTCGACTTCCCATTGTTCTGACCATATTAAACCCATTGTTCCAAAGTCTGTTCCGAAATCATCATGATGCCCTGTGGTTAAGGTCTGGTTAGGTTTAGGCACAAAAACCACTTGGTTAGGGTCAGGAAAAGATCATGGTGTGGGTTAAAATGAAAAAGAAAGTGACAAACACATAAGCCGTGAGCCTGCTCCGCCTCAAGCCTTTCCCAGCTGACCCAGAGCCGGTCGTGGCGCACCATACGCCCACCGCAAGCCGTTCAGCACCGCGGACAGTCGGACTAATGGGATGTCGAACCAATGGGCTGTTGGACCAATGACATGGACCCGACATGTATTATGAAGGGGTCACAGACAATGCAGTGTGTTTTTCAGTGAGCTCAGCATTTACCGCCACTGTTCATCAAAGATTTATCCACAGAACAAGACAAGCGGTCATTTTGCGCATTTCTGGACAGTGGCTCAGTTTGAAATATTCCAGTGAGTCATGGAACAGTCAGGAGCAGCCACAGTGAGCTGTTGGATAAAGAGCTGCAGGCGACAGGTTGCACACCTCTAACTAAGCGAAGTAACCAGCTCCTTTCACTGTGACTGGTGTCCGCAGACTCTGTGCCCTGTGCAGCGTAAAATCAGATTACGGTTGCTCACAGAATGGAAAAAGGCCAATTGTCGGCTGACTTCTTTATTAAAACAACAATAGGTTGTTTTTCTGCCCCCAGAACTCTGTGACCTGTAGTATTGAACTGCACTTTCCATTACCGCCAGTAACTACAAGTGTTGCCAAATCAAGCAGGATTGTAATCTTTAAGATTGCTTCTTTCATGAATGTCGCTTCTCCTCCTGCATTTAAAGTACAATGTGGAATAAAAACAAGCTACAATACAGCAGCACAATATAATCTAAATTATATTACGTACTTTAACACTGCTATAACTTGTTTCCTTTTAGTCTTTTCCCTTTCATAAATATATTTTCCTCCCAGAGTTGCATTAAACGCTGTTTGCTTTCCTTTGTTTGGATAAAAAATAGAGGATTTGCTCCTACACTGTGACTGCTCCAGTGCTGCCCGTCTGGAACAAAAAGACCAAACATTGCATTTACAGAAAGAAAAGAGCTTGGAGCCGCTCAGAATTATGGATTGTTTGTTTTAGCATTTACAAATACATGAGCTGTGTTTTACTGTAGCGCATAAGTATGCACATGTGCATGGGCCAACTCATTCATTTTAAGTAAACAATCTACTCCAACTTTCCTACAGTATGAGATGCAAATAAAGAGTGGAGATTGTGTTGAAGCCTGCACCTGGGTGACTGATCACTGTGTAAAGAGGAGGCCCAATTAGATCCCCCCGGAGAGAGAATTTTTTGCTGATGCACAGTGAAGTTACCGGCCCAGTGTCTACCAGCCTGTAACACCGGCCAGTCAATAAGCCAATAGTGAAGTATTTCATCAGAAAGGCAATTACTGGTAACAAAAGTGGATGCAACAAACAAACAAACACTGCACTTTGAGCTAGGTAAACAAAAAAGATACATAGAAAAAGAGCAAAAGACTGACTTGTGCTTCCTCAGTGACAGACCCATGTGCTGCTTCATCTGCTGCAAGCCGTGGTAGTCTGTGTAGATGAGGTCAAAGGGCAGAGGTCCTGTCAGAGGGCAGCTGCCTCTTCCTGGAGGGACCCCCAAAAACCTGCAGACAGGGCAGGTGCAATTTTAGTGAGCCAAAGAGTGTGCACAGTAGCATACAAACAGTCACTGCAAACATGTAGGAGAGATGAAGAACACAAAAGTAGAGGGGGAAAACAGAAAGAGAAAAGATGTCAGACACTAATAAAAGATCAGGTGATGCTCAAGATATGTGTTAATGGCTGCTTGTACGATTTGAGTTTGGTCGGCAGACATACAGAGACAGAGAGTTGAAGACAGGAGGAATCAAAGAGCCCAGTTGCGTCGTGAAGCGTGCCAGTGTTCTCAGCGAGACGGCTGAGCCATTCATCTGAACAATACAGAATTCAGCGCTACCAGGCAGCGATATCTCGCAACGGGGGAGTCGCCCCAATTTGTCTTCACAACTTGTTCCAACTCACACCTGAAAACACACATATTATCTGAGACCATGCAGCATGTTCATTTAACCACACGTCTGACAGATGCGGAGGGGTGGCTGCTTTCAAGCATTATTTGTGCTGAATCCGCCTTTGTCGGGACGCCATCCGAGCACTTGCTGCATAAATGTAGGCTGCGAGAGTGCTACAATAGTGCCTTTTCATTGCTTTTCTTCTTTCTGCATTGTTAGCTTTCTCACCAGAGTTTCTGTTAGCCATCCGAGCTGCACAGCTTTGGGTGACAATGTCAATCCACTACTTTGGTCCAGACTGAAATATCTTAGCTGTTATGTGACTGCCATCAAATCCAGTACAAACATTCACGGGATGAATCCTGCTGACTCTGATGATCCTCTGTTTTTTTCTCTCGTGCCACCATGAGGTTGACATTTTCGCTTTTCATTGAAATATCTCAACAACTGTTGGTGTTAGATTTGGTGCACACATTCATGTCCCCCAGAGAATGCAAAGTAATAACTACATCCTCAGACTCTTTACCTAGCACCACCATCAGACCATTATTCTGTTTGTCCAGTACTTACTACTGGACTTTTGAAATGTTGTTGGACTGAATGGATCAAATCCTGATAGAGAAATGAGTCATTTCACAGGGGATGTGATGCTTAACACAAAGGAATCCACTGATTTACAGAAGTTCTCACATCATATTTGTCCTTGTATTCCATGTTAATTGCACACTGTGGTTGTTATTCATTTGTTCTGTATGACAGCTGTATATATCTGTTTGCCTTGTTGTAACAGTGGTTGATGCTGCCCTCTTGGCCAGGTCACTCTTGACAAAGAGATTTTTAATCCCAATGAGGCTTTTACCTGGTTAAATAAAAGATATATATAAGTCTCTTTCACAATGTAAATCTCTTGGGCCACATGGCATCACGTGATTGACTCGAAAGTTGTAATTCCACAGTCAGGCCACTACTCAGCCAACATTTGTTTGTGGGGCCCATTGTAAATGAGCTAAAAAATGGGCCCTTCATGGTATTGTCCAAATGTTCTATCACGGTCCTATGCCAATTACCCACATGGGTGGTTTTACCCAAGTGAGCCCAAGATAAGATGTTCATTTTGGGCCCATATCCACTTGGTACCCAGGTATCTGTAGCATAACCCATGCGAGGCCCACTTAGGGCCGTAATATACTTGCTGCAAACAACGTGAACGCGACAGCATCATGGCTGCCATGTGTGATCTGCGTTCGTTCGATGTGTCGGCCGCACATCTCACGGGGTACCATGACACGTGCGCAAAATGCAATATTGACACTACCGCTAGAGGTGCTCGTGCGAATGAACACGGTGACCGTGAGATCAGACCAGACAGAGTCGCTTTTGGTGCAATGGTGGAAACTTTTGAAGAGAGGCTGACAGACCTGGTGTGGAACTACTCGCATCTCTGTGATGTTTCCACGCCGTTACCTAGTGACATAGTTCTTCTTCCTCATCAAGCATATCAAGGGCATCCATGTTTGTTTACAACACCCGGCATGCCCTACCCGATTTCCGGGTTATATTTATGTTGTCTGCCCCAAGTGGAGACCGCCAGTATTGTGTGTTTTGGCTGCGTAGTGCTGCAGCAAGTATATAGACAGACACGGCACATTGTGAACGCGTACGTTCGATCAAGTGGCAAGTCTATTACGGCCCTTAGGTAAACACACCCATGTGGACAATTGGTATGGGGTCATTATGGAAACCTTGGACAATCCCATATAGGGCCCATTTTTCAGCTCATTTGCTAACCACATGGGGCCCACACACAAATGGTAGCTGGGTATGTCAAATAAGGCTGCAACTAATGATTATTTTCATTGTTTATTAATCTGTGAATCATCTCCTCAATTAACTGATTAGTTGTAAAAATGTAAAAAAAACAATGTTGATCAGCGTTTCCCAAAGATACTGTCATAGAGGGGTAAAGGCCAACCTGATCTCACAGAAATACATGAAATGACCACGACCTCTTAACACCGCATTCCGTGGTGGCAGCACGTAATGGGTTGAAATCACGTGCTGCCACCACGAAAACAATGCCAATGTAAAGTCAATTAGGATCCTCTCCCGTGGTGGACACACGGATTTCCTGATTCAATCACGTCACTTCAACCTCGTTTTCCTCAATGATATTTTTAACATTCCTGTATACACACAAAAATGCGGAAGTGTCCTTGATAACTTAACAATATGACAGGTTAATGTCAAGGCCATAAAATAAAATAAATGTATTTTGCCAGCTTTTGATAGCGTAGGGCTTTAAGAGCATTGTCCTGTGGGCGGATGGGGTGCGTTCCACTACTGTTTTGTAGCTGCTCTCTGCCGTCTGTGGGCTTAATGCCATTTCAGATTGCCATTCGTCTGCTGTAACTGAATCCAAACGCCACTAATAAATAAATAAATAAGAAGATAAAAATAAGGCTGAGCACAGAAGAACCAGAGAGGAAACACCATCACATGGAGCTGTCTGCCCCGGGCAACCCGGCCACCCTCCACTCCACCAGGGGAGAATGGACCCCAAGCCAGCGCCACAGAACCAGCGGCTGCCCCGCCACTGCTGAAAATTATACATTTTGATACAGGTAGGCTATATACATATTGCAAAACTCTGTAAAAGTAGCCTACACCAAAGCATATTTTCGTTTCCAAATATTTATTTGAAAACAAAACCATTCATACGGTCAATATAAAACATTTTGTTAATAATAAAAAACAAATG